TAAGTTTCTTATATGTAAATAAGAATTTTTATTTCATTACCTGGTCATTCTGTTGAGCATCTTCTTCAGAACTTTCATTCTCATTTGCATGTGTGCTACTGTGCTGATCACTCACATCTTTCATAGCTTCATCATTCATCTCATTTCCATCCTTCAACAAATATTAACTTCATTTTATATATGTAACTCAACCTTTTGTATTTCATGCCATATAAAATGGAAATAAGTGTCTTATATGGAAATAAGAATTTTTATTTCATTACCTAGTCATTCTCTTGACCATCTTCTTGTCCTCCCTGCTCTTTCTCTGCAATGTGATCCACTTCCTTCTCTCCTTGTCTCTTTGATATTTCCTTTACAAGAGTTAGAATCTTCTTTAGCATTTCATCTTGATTTTTTTCATTTCTTTTATCTCTGCATGCATATTGGCAATCTCTTTGGACTGTTTGGCTAGTGTCTTCATGATTACACTTTTTCCTGCCTTTGTCATATCCTCACTCTCATTGGATCTAGATTCTTCACTATCAACCACCCTCCCTTTTTTCCTCAACACTCGCTTACTACACTCTCCTTTTTCTTTCTTTCCTGCCCTTGTGCTTTTATTGTTGCCTTCTGAACTTGCTCTGTGTTTTTTTTCCTTTTTATTTCTTGCATCCATTTTGATCTGCTTTGTGTTCTTTATGGTTGCATCAATTCTCAGGTCCTTGTTTGCTTCATTGCTTTCCCCTCCTACAAGTCCTTGCATTCTTTGGATCTCATCTGCACTTGGAACTATTCCTGTTCACTCAAATTGTAACATTGGCAATTAAACTTTGATTAAAAATATATTATTTGTAACTGTATGCAGATTTGTAACTACTTACATATATAATTGTGCATAATTTAACTACATTTACCTTGTCATTACTGAAAATGAGTTCACAAAACCTTTGTATTGATGGTTTCTTCTGAAAAGCCCACTTTAATGTCCTAGGAATGACATTTTCTCTTTCTGTTATAACATTGCATAGTCCTTCAGTAGCCAATATTGGAAAGGTCTCTAAGGCCCAGATTTGGATTGCATGCATACAACCTGTGAACGCCACTCTTTTTCCTGTGCAGACCTTGAGTGCTTCTGCGTTGTTCTTCATATTTGTGAGTAGGTCATCCCAAACAACATCACCCCAAGGGTAAGAATTGAATGCATCTAAGTCTTGTACCAAGTTGATATATCTCCCTGGCAAGCGAATCGCGGTCTGGTTTCCAAACAGTCCATGTGCTAGAGCATATAGCAGTCCTAGTTTAAAACAATCATTCTCTTTTGTGCCTGGATTGTTTCGGTTGTACCCCTCTAGTGCTTGGACATCCTGCCTCACTATTACCTGTTTGGTAACAAAATACCTTCTGCACATATCCCCACCTACATCATCAGATACTGCTGGTTTCACCCCATTTATATGCAAACCGGTGACAATTGCCAAATCTGCTTTTGTAAAGCTTATCACACTATTGCCTACATGGAATCTTATGACATCCTTTTCAACCTTACCATCGACCTCCTCAATATAGTTTGCTACGAAACAAATGTTCAGCTGCCCATTTAATCTTGGCATATGTTCTATATCTAGAATCCAGCCTAGAACTGAACTTCTAAAAAGAGTTATTTCTTCTGTATTCAACTTTTCCTTGATTCGCTTACCAACCTCACTCAAATTTCAAAAGCAATTCACACACATTTTTTCAAACTTATCCAGCAATCCTCTATCACATGTCCTCGTTATAGTCTGCAGTAAACACTTATTACATCAATATTGCCATATAGAAAATATTTGAAATACAGTCAATAAGATGGTATTACTGGACATGATTTCAAAATGATCTTTATAATTAACATGTCTGTTAATGTCATCTTCTTGATGTTATTTCCATTTCAGATATCTTTTAATGCCATATTACTTATGATTATTTCCGTTTCAGATGACATTCAACATAATACTTTGAAATGAGGCTTGACCTTCTAACAATTAAAAAAGAAGCATATGTGTATACGTTATACACTTTCATACAAGATGACATTTAATAACAAAAACTCTGTATGCATTCTAATCCATTAACTCACTACTCTACATAGCATTCATTCATATTTTTACATATTGACATAACTACTTCAGATATCTTTTAATGCCATTTTACTTGTGATTATTTCCATTTCAGATGACATTCAGCATAATACTTTGGAAATTAGGCTTGACCTTTTAACAATTAAAAGAGAAGCATATGTGTGTATACGTTATACACTTTCAGTACAAGATGACATTTAATAACAAAAACTTCGTATGCATTCTAATCCATTAACTCACTACTCTACATAGCATTCATTCATATTTTTCATATTGACATAACTACTTTAGATATCTTTTAATGCCATTTTACTTGTGATTATTTCCATTTCATCGTATGACATTCAACATAATAATTTGAAATGAATCTTGACCTTGTATGTCATAAAAACAAGCAGTGTATATATATATATGACATAAATTATAATAATCTCATTCATAAGTCCAAAAATACCTTTCCTAAATACCTAAATCGCACAACTATGACTATATCATGTCTTCTTAAACACATTCAGTTCAACTAATAACACTTCATTCAATCTGTACACAAAAAATATCAACATATGGCACTAGGAACGAAAACCACACACAAACCATTGTTCAAGCACTCCACACACAATAACAACAACAATTTGCAATTAATAGCAGAACAATGCCATTCCATACTTCAAATATAAAACAAACATCATCACTATGTCCATATAGAAATCAAACGGCATTGATATTAACAACATAAATTCTTACCAGGTCTCGCCTAATTTTTACTTTTTGGCTTGGTGATTCGAAGTCGGAATCCACCATTTTACGCACTTCTATGACCGTTTTGCTCTTACGAACCGCTTCAAATGGTTTCGTTTACTTTTTCTCTTCCTCTACTCTCACAGCTTTTGCGTATTTCCTCTTCTCTCACGGCTTCTGCGTATCTGAATCGGGCATTGAATGTTTTGGTCTCTCTCTCAATTGAATCAACCGTCAAACGGCTCGATGAAGTAATGTTGGCGCGAATTTTGAAACAAATGCTTTTTACGCCGTAATATTTATTCAAACGGATGCCTTTAGCTTAGGGTTCATTAAGGGTATTTAAGTCATAGCACCAGATATTTAGTCCTACTGAAGTTGACGTTAAAGAGCACTCCTATTTGTGCATAAATGATATATTTTAGTCCTATATGGGTAATTTTCTCTTGCTTATATCACACCTCATCAATGTTTGGGGTGTTTTAATTATTTTTCACCATAAAACTTATATTTTATTGAACTGTCTAGTCTACATGTATTTCATTGTTCAAATTTTTAATTTTGTTGTTTCAGGGGGCCTCAATTTTCCATTTGGAACCGGGACCTCCAAATTCATTAGACGGCCCTGACAATAACAATTCTATACTATCAGTGGGTATATATAATACGGAGTATAAAGGATAATTGCTGATAAATGTGATGTTATGAATGTACTATTTTTAACATGTGCGAGTTCAAGTTGTCATTTTAGAATTACTCCATACTAATTAGTTCATAAAATAGAAGTGAGAATCTTTAATAGGGACGTACGAAAAACGCAAGCAAGAAGTGCGAGAGTAACAAAATAGACAATGCTCAAAGGATAATAAGGTCGAATTACAATCATGTCCCACTACAATGTAGTGTACTAATGTTCTACATATATATACTTCAATACATACAGTCCTATATCTAGTAAATTACCAGCTTCTTCTTTTTCGAAAATGTGGACAAGAATGAACCTAAAATAAGGTTATCCAAGTGGAAGCACCCTGCCAAATATTGATAAGATGAATTATAAATTGGTCAATCGAAGCAAGGTAAAAGCTAGGTTATAAGAACCACACAGAGAAGCGACTTGGACGAATGACTTGGTCACGGGTTAGCCCGGACCCAATGAGTCAACGTGGTCCATATCGTAATAATCCGGTCAACATTTATAATTTAATATATTAATAAATAAAGGTTTAAATATAGTTTTAGTCCTGCAAATATGACACTTTGTTTTAGGTCCCTGCAAAATATTTTCTTTGTTTTTCATCCCTGTAATATGCTCTATTTTGGTTTTAGTCCATCTCTAACTCCGAAACAACTCTACTTAAAAAAATTCTTTATTGTCACTTGCATAAATCTACTATAAACATTTAAATTTATCATTTTATAATTTGTTGAATCTAATATGACACTTAAAATAATATAGACTAATTATTCGCATATTTAAAATATGTATTAAAAATCTTCTAAAAATGAAATTAAATACTTTTTGAATGACATAACAAAGAATTAGAGGAAACCTTTTAGTCGGGGTTGTTTCTTTGTCAAACGAATGTTGTTCTCATTAGTCATGGACTCAAAAGAAAACCAACATAAATGCAGGGATGAAAAGCAAAGAAAATATTTTGCAGGGACCTAAAACAAAGTATGTCATATTTGTAGGGACTAAAAACATATTTAAAACATAAATAAATAACAATATGTAAAATTAAAAACAATGGGTAATTATTGTGCACAACAATCAAATAATTATACTCCATCCGTCCCTTAAAACTTTGTCAACTTTTCCTTTTTTGGATGTCCCACTAACTTTGCCACTTTCCATTTTAAGTAAAGAATTTGTGGTTCCAGTCAATTCTCTCTCCTCTGCACAAACCTCCACCACACAATTTTTACTTTATTAATCCCCGAGCCGGTCAAACTTGGCAAAGTTTTAAGGGACGGAGGGAGTAATATATACTAGTAAGCATTGAAAAGACATCCATAATATTCTAAAATATAATTTAGCCCAAATTATATTAATAATGTTATTTGATATTTTTAAATACATGTATAAATTATTATTTTACATAATTATGTATCCAGTATGAATATTCAAGTATATTCAAGTAGAGAAATGAAAATGAATAAACTACACATAACAAATACTTCTCTTCTGAAATTTTAACTAAAACACTAGTCTACGACTCTACGGCCGTACCCTGTAATAGGGTTTTGATTTCCGGTGACAACTTTAGTTGTCTGGCTCAGTAGGGGAAGGGTTTGGCTCTCGTCTGATTTGCGGCGAACATGTATGCTCGTTTGGAGTTTTTTTGTGCGAGGATTGTGCTGAATCGGTGCAGCGGCGAATTCGAACGGATTGGAGCGAGGATTGGGCTGTAGCAACTCGTGGTTCGTGGGATAGCAACAGGGGAGTGTTGCTAAGTTCCTGATTGGGCTGAAGCAGATCGAAATTCCTTGATACATCGAAGATCTTTGTTCAATTGCAATGAGCCTGATAAGCTGGAATTGCAGGGGCTTGGGCAATACGGCAACGGTGCAATGCGCGATCGACATAGTACAACAACATCGTCCCTCAATTCTATTTTTTATGGAAACTAAAGTACGCTGTCAATGAGCTAAGGATGTGCTACGTTCACAGGGGTACCTCCGGAGCTGTGGGGCGGACAGTGTCGGGCACAGTGGAGGAATAGTGTTGGGCTGGAATGATGATGTTGAGATTACCATTAACGACGTCCAACAAACTTACATCGATGCTTTGGTGAAGCTCACACCGAACGAGAGCCCTTGGAAGCTCACTTGTTTCTACGGATATCCAGAGACAGTTTGGCGGAGAGAGGCTTGGGACCTTTAATTTTGAAAGAACCGGCAGACAGGAGCACTGGACCCTGGATGGTGATAGGGGATTTCAATGACATATTATATGAGTCTGAGAAGAAAGGGAGGGTTCCAAATCAACTTTGGAGATTACGTGGCTTTCGGGAATGTGTTATGGCCCGTGGTTTGAGAGATTTTCCTTTCATGGGTTACCAATGGACGTGGGAAAGAGGAAAAGGAACAGAAAATTGGGTTGAGAAAAAGCTTGACCGCATCATTGTCAATGATGAATGGTGGAATAGGTTTATGGCAGCCCAAGCTTCGTCCGTAGAAGCACCCGTAAGCGATCATATGGCACTTTACATCGTTGTTCTACCAACTGTGCATGGGAAAGTGAGGAAGAAGTTTAAATTCGGAAATAAATGGCTAAAAGAAGAAGAATGCAGGAATGTAGTAGCTAGTAGTTGGAGTGCTGGAAGTAATCTGTCGGTTTCAGAGAAGATTTATTTTTGTGGGGCCGAGTTACTTCGCTGGGACGGGTGTAGAAAAAGGGGTTTTCGACATCAGATTATGGCCTGTAAAAGGAGATTAGCATGGCTTCGAGGCCGACATGATCAGAATAGTACAATTGAGTTTATTAAATTACGGGCCCATCTTTATACCCTTATGGAGAAGGAGAATGCTTACTGGAGACGGGGGGCCAAGGAATTCTGGCTGAAGGAGGGAGATATAAACTCTCGTTTCTTCCACAATGCGGTGAAACAACGCAGGAGAACGAACAAAATTGTAGGGTTGAAAACAGCTGGAGGGGAGTGGGTCACGGATCAGGATAAAGTCGGGGGAATGGTGGCCGAATATTTTTCTAATATTATTCAGGTTGAACAGGAGGAGGAGACGATGGAAGCTGTTTTTTCCAGAAACCGTGTATCTGCTGGTAAGAATATTGAGCTCCTTCGACCCATTCGTCCGGAAGAGGTGAAAGAGGCAGTTTTTGACATGCATCCCGACAAGGCTCCAGGCTCATATGGGATGAATTCGGCTTTCTTTCAGGCATATTGGGATATTGTGGGCCCCGAAGTAGTACAACTCTATTCAGGTATATTTAAGGAATTAAATCTTATTAACCTGGTTTTAATTCCGAAGAAAGATAAGCCGGATAATCTGGGTGACTGGAGACCTATAGCCTGATGCAATGTAGTGTATAAAATTTTCTCAAAAGTGATGGCTAATCGCTTAAAAGGTATTCTGGGTGATTTGGTTGATGAAAGTCAAAGTGCATTTATTCCTGTGCGCTCTATAATTGATAATGTAGTTGTGGCTTTCGAAACACATCATTATTTGAAAAGGAAGAGTAGGGGTAAGGAAGGTTATGTTGCTATGAAACTGGACATGAGTAAAGCATATGGTAGGGTCAGATGGAATTTTTTGAAGGGGTGCCTAGTTGCTTTGGGTTTTGATGTCAGATGGGTGAACATGGTAATGGAATGTGTTTCATCTGTCAGCTATTATATACAATTTGATAGGGATTTTTTGGAACCTATTGAGCCAGGTAGAGGCCTTCGACAAGGGGATCCGTTATCTCCTTATCTATTCATTATGGTGGCTGAGGGTCTGAGTGCGCTGATCCGTGAGGCGGAATCAAGAGGGGAGGTCCATGGAGTGGCAGTCTGCAGAGGGGCACCCAAAGTCCCACATCTACTTTTTGCAGATGATAGCTTTTTATTCTTTAAAGCAAACGGTTCTGAGTGCAATGCCATTAAAAACATTTTGCATATCTATGAAAAAGCTTCTGGGCAGGTCATAAATTATTCGAAATCTTCCTTGTCTTTTAGCCAGAATGTGGGAGAACCCACTAGAGACTTCTGTTGTAAGTTCTTCGACATTCCACGAGAGAGCGGTCAAGGGCGCTATCTGGGACTAACAACTTTAGTGGGGAGGAATAAAGCGGCCATTCTGGGTTATCTGCGGGATCGGGTGATGAACAGGTTAAAAAACTGGAATAATAAATTCCTATCCAGGGCAGGCTGGGCGGTTCTCATCCGGAATGTGGTACAGGCTCTACCTAATTATGCTATGAATGTTTTCTTGTTGTCTAAAGATTTGTGTGATCAAATTGAGAAGCTCATGAATGCATTCTAGTGGAAGGGCAATAAATTCGACCAGAAAGGAATCCGATGGAGTCGTTGGGAGCTCTTGTGTAAACCAAAAAATGAAGGAGGTTTGGGGTTCCGTAGAATCAGAGAGTTTAATCTGGCTATGCTGGCGAAACAGGGATGGAGGCTAATCACTGAACCAAGTAGCCTGATGTGTAGGGTAATTAAGGCGAGGTATTACCCAAACACGGACTTTTTGAATGCGAAATTGGGGAATAATCCATCTTTCATATGGAGAAGCTTTTTTTGAAACCCAAGAGATTCTAAGGAAGAATACCCGTCGCAGAGCAGGCAATGGCAGGGAGGTGCAGGTCTGGGCAGATGCGTGGCTACCGGGACAGGTTTCAGGTCGGGTTCAGTCCGCTAGACCTCCGGGGATTAGAGACATGAATGTAGCATCATTGTGAGACCATACATGTAAGGCATGGATTAAAGAGAGAATTTCCTTTATTTTTGAGGCGGTAGACAGAGACATCATTTTGAGCATCCCCATTAGTAAAAAGGATAGGCCCGACGGTTTTTGGGGGAAAGAAGAGAAACATGGTGAGTACTCGGTAAAGAGTTGCTACAGGCAACTTACCTATGTGGCCCCTACTAGGAATGCAGATTATTGGGCTAAATTGTGGGCCCTTGAGGTTCCAACAAAATTTAAATACTTCATTTGGCAAGTTTTGGATGGGACGCTTCCAACGGTGGATAACCTGCAAAAAAGAGGGGTGCAACTAGTGGGCAATTGTCAACTTTGTGAAAGGGCAACCTAAAATCTAGAGCATGTTTTCTGGGATTGTGGATATTCCCAAGACGTGCGGCATCACATCGGGGTTATTAGAGCCACGAGGGTCACCAATGTGCAGGAATGGATCAGATATCAGCTCAGGAATGCCACCATGGATCAAAAATGCAAATTTGTTGCTCTTCTGTGGAGTATATGGAAGAGACGAAATGGTGTCATTTGGAAGGAGTGGCAAGGAACAGAAGGAGTTATTACAAGTGCTATGAGCATGATAAATAATTGGAAGGGGGCACAAGGGGAAGTACCCAAGAAGGAGAGGAGGAAGCGAAGTGGTCAAAAACTGACATGGCAAAGACCGGGAAGAGAATTCATTAAAATAAATGTGGATGCGGCCGTTGACTCGAGTGGAAACAGATGGGCCTGAGAATGGGTGGCGAGAGACGAGATGGGTGAATTCATTAGGGCAGGTGGAGTGTCAACAGAAGCAAGCTGGACCCCGGAGGAGACAAAGGCGGTCGGCCTGAGGGATGCAATGCAGGAGGCGGTACCAGCGGGCTGGCGGAATGTGGAATTCAAGACGGATGCCCTCTCGGTAGTCCATGGCATTCGGCAGAAGAGAGGTTTGGCTTATTTAGATTTAATTTTGGATGATATTCGAGAAATTATTTCAACAAAGAGTAGTTATAGTATCTCTTTTTGTAAGCGATCTGCGAATCATGTGGCTCACACGTTGGCAAGGGCTCATGTTGTTCTCTCAGATCATAGGAGTATTTTTTATGTTGCTCCTAATTACATTATAAGCCAACTGGCTAACGATTTCATTAATTAATACAAGCTGTCAGTTGAGGATAAAAAAAAAGTATATTCAAGTATAAAGGAGGCTAGTTAGTCACCGACGGAGACAGAGGCGTACGGGGTCAGGGAGGCCTTAAGCGCCGCATGAAGATCGGGGTGGCAGAAAATTGAGATTGAAACGGATGTTCTGGTTAGTTGTGGTTCAAAATGTTTCAAAGTAAGGAGTGTCCTCTTATTTATGGCTTATTATTGATGATATTAGATCTATTCTTGATAATCATAGTCAATTTAAGATTTTAGTTTGTTAAAGGTCACCGAATCGTGTTGCTCATATTTTAGCTAAGGCAAACGGTTCTTCCCTTGACTGTTGTTCTATTTTAGATTAATACAGATTTGATTTACTTTTAAAGAAAAAGCAACTTTTTTCAAAAATAATATGAACATAACTGCACTTATTACAAAAACTTACTCCCTCCATCCTGAAAAGGTTGGCCAAATTTCCTTTTTTGGATGTCCCAAAAAGATTTGTCATTTGCATTTAAAGTAAGGAATATGTGGCTAAAATTAATTCTTTCTCCTCTGCACAAATTTCAAACACACAGTTTTTACTTTATTAATCCACGTGAAAGTCAATTTTGGCCAACCTTTTCGGGACGGAGGGAGTATAAAATATGATATACGTAATACGTACTAAGTGTTTTTGTACTTATATTTAAAATTTTATGTACACTATAGGTTATTGAAATAGAAAGAATATATAATCAAATAATAGCAATAATAGGTATTAATTGATACTCCCTCCGTCCCGCTAACAATGAGACAAGAGGGAGTGATACGCAAATTAATAAAAAGTGGTTTATGCGTTTGATATTGAATTGATAAAGTAAGAATAAAGTAAGAATGCTTTAGAGCCACATACACAAACTTTACCAAATTTGGTATGGGATAATCTTAGTGGGACGGACCAATAAGGTAAAATGGGACAATCATAGCGGGACGGAGGTAGTAGTTCATAGTTGGCTGCTGTATGCTTCGCCCAGACGCAATTTTGAATCAGGTGGAGAATATATTTTGCATTTGGGCGGTTCCTCGAGGAATTACCGGTTTTGCCAGGTTTAAGCCATCCCATTTATTTATGAATCACCTCACCCGTACCAAATTAGTCTACTCTGTTTGGTCAGATTGCGTTGGCAGAAAATTGAGATTGAAACGGATGTTGTCGTTGTGGTTGTGGTTCAAAATATTTCGAAGCAAGGAGGATCCTCTTATTCACATCTTATTATTGATGATATTAGATCTATTCTTGATAATCATAGTCAGTTTATGATGATCATGTTGCTCATGCTTTAGCTAAGGCGAGAGGTTCTTCCCCTGACTGTTGTTCTGTTTTCGAGCAGACTTCTGATTTGATTGTAAACTTACTTCACAATAATTTGTTAGATTAATAAAGTTTTGGTTTACTTTCAAAGAAAAAAACTTTTTTCAAAGATAATATGAACATAACTACACTTGTTACAAAACTGACAATATCATATACTATTTCAGTCCCAAAAAACTTTGTCATTTTCAAAACTTTGACCGACTATATCTTTTTATTGAAAAGTATTTATAATATAAAAATTATATGAAAATGTTCTTTGTTAAAATTACCTTCATAAAGATATACTCCCTCCGTCCCGTTGGAATGTTCCCGTTCACTATTCATTGGTCAACTTAGGTCACTCCTAATCTTTACTTTATATATCAAATTTTTATCAAATTGAACTTTTCTGGATCAGACTTTGTAGCGGGTTTAATGTAGTTTCTGAATATGTAAATTTTATTTACTAAAAATAAGCGGAGTGTGAACAGGGATCGAGTTGTTTTATTGTCAGTCAAGCATCGTAAACCGAACGGGAACATTCCAACGGGACCGAGGGAGTAAAATTTATAATTTCCATAATATTATACTAATCAAAATCAATATTCAAATTTTTTGAAATGACAAAGTTTTTTGGGACGAAGGTATTACGTAATAATTTTTTTGTACTTATATTTAAAATTTTATGTACACAATAGGATATTTAATAGAAAAAATATATCATCAAATAATAGCAATAATTGGTATTAATTGATAGTTGGCTGGTGGAGCATATATTTTTTCTTTTGGGCCGGTTCCCGGAATTACCGGGCCGCCGGTTCTGAATAGATGGGCCCGGGACCGGCCCAGGTACCCACCGGGTCCGGTCCGGGCCTATTATCAATTTTTTCCCCTCTTCCTAATTAACCCCCCTCCCACCCCCAACCCACCAAACCACCCACAAATGGCTCAAAATACCCAACCCAACCCGAAAATTTAAAAAAAAATGAAAAAAAAATCAATTTTGGCCTGAACCGGTCCCCGGGCCCGACCGGGCCGGGCCTTGTTTTGGATGACCTGAACCCGGACCGGTCACTGACCGGGCCACCGGGTCAGGCCGGGCCGGAACAGTACCAGTCCCAGGCCGGTTCCGGGTCGGGCCACCCGGCCCGATTCCACCCCTACCTAGAATCACCCGCACCAAATTAATGTACTCTGCTTCGATCGTGGATTATTGCTTTTCATATTTCGTATGGGAGACTAAGGACTGACATATATATATATATATATATATATATATATATATATATATATATATATATATATATATATATATATATGTTTATGCATGAGATATACCTCGTACTACAAACGAACTATTGAGATATACGTATGATATATTATTGGCGTAAATATTCATCTCTAATATAATATAATACCGGGATTAATTTCCTTTGTGCAGTATGGACAACACGGTTGGATGTTTCTGGGGCGGCAAGTGCTGCTTCATTGGTTGATGAGGTCGGTGGGATATTAGCTACTCTACCACCAGTCATTGTTTCTTTCTACTCAACGATCCGGTGGATGGATAGATATATATTGTGGCTAATTTTATCATTACTTTTCTAATTAATTAAAAGATACTACATGTTATTCTCATATATATATATATATATATATATAATAAAGATCAAATTAGAACGATGCTTAACGTGAGAACGTGAGAACAACACGTTTACCCTAACGTGTTTCACAACGAAGCTTGTATATTGCACATTTTCACATTTTCATAATATTTACAAAAATGTCACCGTGTTATTTAATATAGGCTTAATTCGAGCGTTTTACTCCTATTTAGGACAATTTCTTCATAAATAATCATCTCTAATACCGTGATTTCAATTCTTTTGTGCAGTTTGGACAAATGGTTTGGATGGTGCTGGAGCCACTGATGCTTTTAAGGTTCATGAGGTCGATGGGATATTAGCTACTATACCAGCAGTCATTGTTTCTTTCTACTCAATCGATCCGGTGGATGGATATGATGGCTAATTTTATACTACGTATATTAATTTTCTAATTAACTAAAGCATATGTTATTCTCATATACTTCGCAATTATATATTATAGCTTTACGTGTGTCATGTGATCTCATCTGTGACGTTTCAATTCGGATATACTATGTACTACGTATATTATATTGGTCTGGATATTATACGCCATATATCTAAATTAATCCTTTGAATACAATGGATCTTTATTTGTGTGAACCTTAGCTGTTGGAGTGATTGACGTTTCATATTTTCGCCGCTGGAGTGAAAAAGCCAAACGTAAAAGTCATTTAACCAAACACCCTAATTAGCTGATTGATTGGTCAAAAGGCTAAATGTTGGTCAAATCAGCTAAAAAGTGACTGATAGGCTCCTAACCAAACACCCCCAATATCACCTAAAGGAGACGAAAACATACCTAAAATTCACAAATAAGACTACCATTTTTTAAATTTTCTAAATAGGACTAATCATGCGAGTTTGGACAAATATAACCTTGTAGCCTTTAAGACTAAAATAAATATTTAATAAAATTAATAAAAAATTAGAAAAATAAAAAATTATAAATTACAAAAAAAACTTAAAAAATAAAATAAAAAATAAAAAACGTAAAAAAACATATGCAGGCATTTTCCGCCGCCTCTACCCCCAGCACCACCAGCTCCGATCTCCGAAAAAAATCCCAATATGCATTAGTAATGCCATATTGATGAAAATTTCTGTGAAAACTTTGTCATTATCGATCAAAGAGTAACAGTATCATTTTATTTGCATTTTCAGAAAAAATGGCATTTTTAACACAAAATGACACTTTTTACCGATCATAGGTGGTGATGCTGGGAGGCTGTAGAGGCGGTGGAAAAAGCATTCATATTTTTTTATCTGTTTACACTAATTTTTATTAGTTTTTTTTATTCCTAAACAAATATTAAAAAAATTATTTTGTAAATATTTTATTAATTTTTTATTATTTTTAACGATTTTATTATTAATTAAAACATTTTAGTTAATTTTATTTTGTAAACATTTCAGTTAATTTTATTTTGTAAACATTTTAATACGCTCAAGAGAATTAAGGGTAGAAATTTAATTTTAGTGCTTCTTGTGAATGAATTTTAGTTTTAGTCTTATTTGTGGAATTAAGTTTCGATTTAGTATACATTTTTATTAATTATTGTACATTTTTATACCACCCCTGCTTATACATTCTTATACGAAGTGTGTAGGTACGAACGAACGAACTGTTGAGATATGATAATATTTTGTTTATTAAGGGGAAATTGAAAATAATAATTCAACATTTACCCGTTCTTCATTTAACGGTCCCTTTTACCTAAAATCCATTAAAAATCGCAACTTTCCATGTCATCTTCAATAAACAGTCCCGACCCGAGAGTGACCGGATGGAGTAAATGTTTATATTTACAATTAACTGTAACAAGGACCGTTAAATGAAGATCGAGTAAGGTTGAATTATTAATTTCCACTTTTCTTTAAAAATATGACTGCCCTAGCCGGTAACAAGTCTTCGGGGCTGATTACGGAAGATGACATGCAAAGTAAGGAGTTTTAATGGATTTTTGATAACAGGGACCGTTAAAAGAAGACCGCGTAAAAGGTTGGGTTATTATTTTCCATTTTCCATTTTATGAATCGCTCTTGCTAAGCTAATAAACGTAAATATTCATTCATTTCTAATGTTAATCGGTGATTTCCTTTGTGCAGTTGGAAGAAATGTTGCTGGCACTTTCCTACTTCTAGACCTAATAGTGAATAAAATGAAAAATGGAAAGCTGAGGTCGGTGGGATACTACGTACTGACTGTACCGTACCACCAGTTTTATTTATTTTCTAATTATTATTATTTTTTGATAATCCAAGTGTCGGGGCTTACGTTCTCATAATCCTGAAGTCTATGAGCTACCCTCCAAAGCCCCTAGACAGTTAAGTTCGGATCTGATCACAGTCAACCTCGTCAGTACTGGCTCCAAAGGACGAATCCAGCAGGACTTACATCACCTTTCAGGCTGTTCCTCCCACCACACGAACCCGCTACCTTCATTACCATCCTCTCCCTTCTCAGCCGCTGAGCAACTCTGTGAAGGCAGGAAGAATCATTGGGAGCAAGACCTCCCTCCTCTCCCCTAAATGTGTCTAGCGGGATTCGAACCCGAGACCTCCGCTAGGACACAGTAACCTTCCACCCAGTGAGCTGGAATGGTTGGTTTTATTTTTTATTTTTATTTTAATTATTAATTAAAGCAAATGATGTCTTCATATTCGTTCCTATAGCTTTGCGTGTGTCGTCAGTGACTCAATGTGATCTGCTATGCGGTGTTTCCATTCCTATACATACTTCATACTAGGGAAAAGGGACATATATACCCTTATACTATTACCGTGGGAACACATATACCCTTATATTAATTTTTAGAACAAAAAGCTGATAAAGTTGAAATTGAGGTACAAATGCCCCCTTCCTAACGTTTCCAGACTTTCTCCGTCATACACCGTCCCTATCTAACACACTCTCACAAATAAAACCCTTCTCAACCCCTTTCTTGTTCGTTCTTTCTTTCCCAACCCCTCTCAGAAACAACAGAGGTCCTAATTCCCTAATTCTTCTTCCTACTCTTATAAATTTTTGTAATGTCTTATTCTTCTTCTTCGACTCCGTCCACAAGGTCTGTAAAGCATTTGAATTTTGAAGTTGACTACGAAGGACAACACAAAAAATGCTTTTGTGGACAAACAGCTCTAAGATTCAAATCAGAGACTCCGAACAATCCTGGGCGACGTTTCTACGGTTGTCCAAATTATAGAGTGAGAATTTGATTTTGTTTTTGTTTCAATTTTTTCTTGCTGGGATATTTATGGTTGAATTTTTTTCGGTTATTTTTCATCTGTATTTAATTTCAAATGGAAAGTGAACATCTATTTAATTTGCAGGCTAATGGATGTGGATATTTTGAATGGCATGATGAAGCTTTACCGGTTTGGGCCAAAGATTTGATAAACGAGATGAAGTTAGAAAGAAAAATGTTAGAAATGGAGAATAAAAGACTCAATTTATTGAGAGTGAAAATGCCAATTCAAATGACTTGGTAGATCAAGAAATACACCAGCTGTGGAGGGAATTAGAAAATGTGAAGAAGCATGCTACTGAAAAGGGAACCTCATTGGCATATGAAGCAACAATGAAGAAGCGGAAAAAGATAGCATACATTTTTGCTATGATTAGTTGGCTAGTATTGATAATTGTCATAGTAAAAAAAATTGTGAGATGATTAAAGATGTTCTTGACTGCATTGGTATAGTATTTGCAAGTAGTAGTTTATGATGTATGTCTCCACTTTTATGAGGATGTTGTAGTTGTCTATCAAGACTCCACTGTCATAAAACTATATTTAATTCCAGAACATGTTATTTAGATTGAGTGTGTGTTGTTTATATCCCATAGCAGTGTGTTTTTTGTAATAAGCATGTTGTTTTCAGTTTTTATCACTTAAATGAGTAGTGGCCAACATGCCTAAATCCTCCTGGCGCTAAAAACAGCAGCTATGAACATAATATATTGATCAAGTACGCAATATAACATGGATCAAATTGCTCCATAATCATTCAGAAACACTTCCCACAATATGCTATGTATTAGAATGCTCCATAATCATACAAAAAGAGCTAATTCAGTTTTCCTCCTTCGTTCTAACCAAACAACATCAATGAGTCACTAGTAGCAAAAATCATTACACTGGCTTTAGCTTAGTATGCAAACACTAGTAAGCAAAATACTACTACATATTACTTTAACTCTAAGTCTACAATTACATCTTCAGAGTATTCTTCAATTGTTGAGCCTTCTTGTCTCTCTGTTGTTGTAAATGTTTTCCAAGCACTGAAGGTCTTCCTCTGAATTGCATTCCTGGAGCCTGAAATGGTAATTGAGTAGGTTCCCTTATTTCAGTACCATTTCCAGACATCTTAATTTCCCTCAATTGGACCCCAGTTGATAGTTTGGCTTTTTTCCTCCGTATAGCCTTTTCATTAGGGATTGGAAACCTTGTAACTACATTAGGATCATCACAAATTGTGGTCCGCAAATGGGGAGAACCTGGTGATATGATAATTTTACCAGGCATACCTGGCTGTATAAACAAATAAAACTTATTAGATAAAAATTTAAGAGGTCATAAACATACTTACAAAAGTATATAAAATACTCTTACATTAAGAGTCTGCATTCCAGTATTAAGGTCCACAAATACTCCAAATCCAGGTGTTTGATTGACAAGTTTGGATGATGTATCTTCTCTGGTAGGAGTTACAAATGAACCAGAAGGAGTTTGATCCTACAAATTAAAACAGAAACACTTTGATTAAAAAATCACCTGTATGTGATTGAATTATGCCATATATATGTCAGGTATACCTGGGTTTTTCTTGGACAAGTCTTACTATTATGACCAACAACAGAACACAAACTACAACTTAGCTTTCTTCCCTTTGTGGTCATTTTAGTTGAAGAAGCTGCAGGTGGCTCATTTTTCCCCCTCATTCTCTTCTTGCGTGGTCTTCCAGGCATCTTAACAAATGGTGGAGGGAGAATTGCAGGGAATTCTTCACAGTGCATGAACTTTCTCCCTGGAACTGGTTGTATTGGAAACTCATATGCTCTAAGGTAGGTATGTTTATGATACCACTTCTCCAATACATTTAATGGGTCTATCTTACTATGAAATAACGCACAACATGCATGTGGACAAGGGATGCCAGTTAATTCCCAATACCTACAAGTGCATTGTTGTCTATCAAGTTTAACAATATGCTTATCATCCCCTTCTTCTATCTCATATTCTGCTTCTCCATTGAATATAACCCTACAACCACTTCCTATCTCTTTGTTATCAGCCAACATTTGCATTGCACTTGGGGTCCAATCATTGAACCAATTTCTTATGGCATCCTTGTTTTCTTTAATTCTTGTCATACACAACACTCTAATGTCTTCTAACATAGACATTATCGGTTTGTGCCTAGCTTCTATAATCCAAG